GTAACAGAAAACTTTACTGTTCACATTTATCTCACCAAATGCCAAATGCAGGTTTCAGTTAATGAGGCAAAGACACCTATAGGTGCCCTGCAGATGCAGCATCATCTGTCCATGAACATAAATTCATAAACAAGAGAAACCTCTATTCCAACTGGAATACAGGATCTAATAGGAATGGATCAACATTTAATACAAACATGTTGATGAATGAAATATATTGCAATGCGCATGTAAAGAGTACCTGAGCCATTTTTATCTGTAGCTCATCCGCATTTGTGAGGTAATAACTTGAGACTCCAAATCTACCACTTGCAACCTGCTTAATTGCACTTCTTTTTGGATTCATTGAACCATTAGGAAGAGGCTCCATCCGAGATGGTTGCTCACCACCCTCACCTGTCCAACAGTAGGTACAGCTTTCATTTTACAGTCAAAAGAATTTCAGCTCCAAAGGGGTAAAAATGGTAGCCTCACAAGAGAAAGATCACTGTCAACACTCCACTTAAGCAGCCCCACAGGGGTTAGCTCAATTGGCAAAGGTTGAAGGACTTGTGTCTTAGGTTACAAGTTAGAACCATACACCAGGCGAACTAACCACAGTATTTAAGTGGAGAAAGTTAAGAGCGGCGGACTCATCATCCCCAAGTTTTTTAACGCTGTGGTTGGCCCCCAGACTGATTTCTCGGTCATAAAAAATAAAACATTCCAGTAAAACATACCTGTGTTAGATTTGCCCCCAATTTTGTTCATTGCCATAGCAAGAGTAGCATGTGCCTCCAAAGAGATTGATCCATAACTCATGGCTCCAGTAACAAAACGTTTTACAATCTCACTTGCTGGTTCAACTTCTTCCAGAGGAACTTTCACCTCTGCCTCTTTAAACTTCAAAAGTCCCCTTAAATTGCATTGTCTATTTAATTCCTGCACACGCTTAGAATATTCTTTGTAGGCAGCTACACTATTAGTTCGTGCAGCCTCCTGCAATTTTGCGATGGCAAGTGGATCATTAAGGTGAATCTCACCACCTTTTCTCCAATGATAATCACCAGGATTAGGGAGTGCCACAGCCTCTGCACTCCCGGGAGCCAAGGCTCGTGATGGGAATGCTAGTTCATGCAGCTTGAGTGCATCCTTTGCAAGTGCATCAAAAGTTGCACCCTCCACTCTGCTAGGGGTTCCTTTGAAACACCTTTCCATCACTTCTGACGAAAGGCCAACTGCCTCAAAAATCTGAGCGCCCTTGTACGATGCCAATGTTGATATGCCCATTTTTGCAAGAACCTTCTGCATGCCATAATGACTTGCTTTGAAGTATTTCTTGACAAGCTCATCCTTGGAATGGAACTCACCAGTTGACTTTGGTGGGATTTTTCCATCAACCTGTAGTCTCCATATAGCTTCTACAGCCAAATAAGGGCAGATAGCATCAGCACCAAATCCTACCAATGTACAGAAATGGTGTACTTCTCGTGGCTCAGCAGATTCAACAATCAGTCCAACACGAGTCCGCTCAAGCTTTTTAACTAAATGATGATGGACAGCACCAACAGCCAATAAAGAGCTCACAGCAACACGCTTTGGCGAGAAGGCTAAGAAGGTTAATAAGTAAATATCAATACCATATCGATAACAGAGATAAAAACCATGTACAAAGGAATGACATACTTTTTATTTTATTTTTAAAATTAAATGGCTCTCTGTAAAGATTGGTACCTCTGTCAGAAAGAATGATTGTTGTATAACCCTCCTGAATCGCGCTGTGCGCTTCAGAGCAGATCCTATCTAAGGTCTCCTCGAGACCCTTCGTACCACGGTCTCGGGAGAAGGTAATATCAAGAACCTTACTGCGCCACCCTCTGTAGTTCATCTTTTTCACAGCTTCCATTTCTTCAATGGACAAAAGAGGTCCCTTGAGTGAGAGGCGGTGACACTGTTCTTCAGTGGTCTCTGTAAGATCTCCTTCAGGACCAATCATACATTCCATAGACGTAACAATTTTTTCCCTTATAGGGTCAATAGGAGGGTTTGTGACTTGAGCAAACATCTGCTTGAAATACTCAAATGTAAGTTTTTCTCTAGTAGACATCACTGCTAATGGAGCATCATTTCCCATTGAACCAAGAGCCTCGACACCATCTTTTGCCATTGGGAGTAGCAGCATTTCTAAAGACTCCACAGTGTAACTGCATAAATAGGTCAGCGATTAAATACTTAATACATGTTGTCACAAAATTCTGGGGAATTGTCAGTTTGTGGCAAAAGAAACATACCCGAAGGCCTTTAATGGAGCCAATAAACCATGAAGCCCCATATTTTCCATACTGTCATCATCATTTAACGCCTAAAATTGTAGAAGAATAGATTGGTAAGTTAAGAGGCACTTAAAGAACCAACTAATAACAAATAGGCACAATTAACAGCAGAAAAGAGAAGACCAAAAACAAAGATTTAGAGGAATTAAATTAGTATGAGACACGGTGCTCACAGGCAAAACTCCGGCAATGGGTGGAGGGACCCTGTAGGATTTATTTACAGACTCAACAATGTCTTTCAGCTCTATCTTTTGCCTTTTAAGCCACTGTCCATAAGGTCTTGCAAGAGAGTACTGCTGCTTCAAAGCTTCATCATCTACAACAACATGGTTCTCAAAGTCCACCAGAAGCATCATTCCAGGGTTTAGTCGACCTTTTCTGCATACATCTTCAGGTGGAATATCAACTACTCCAACTTCACTTGCCATAACAACCCTGCCACTGTATGTGACATAAAAGCGACCTGGACGCAGACCATTCCGATCTAATGTAGCTCCAAGATAGCGCCCATCAGTAACTGCAAGGCAATGTCCACATTAAGCAAATGCCACAAAGAAAAAACTCATATAAGAAATCAGTTAATTCCTTGAAGTCTATTACATGATATAAGGGCAGGTCCATCCCATGGTTCCATGAGAGCTGAAAAATACTCGTACAATGCTTTGCGGTTAGGATCCATGTTCTTGTCATTTTGCCAGGCTTCAGGAATCATCATCATTACAGCTTCTGGGAGGCTTCTACCAGCTCGAAGCAGAAGCTCAAGTACACCATCAAAAGCTCCTGAAAAATGGAGATCAAAATCAGATATGGGACAATCAAGACAAATATCTGCTAGTAGGAAAGTTGATCACAGCATGTTCAGATATTGACTGCTTTGAGGTGCAGAAAGGTAGCACAAGAACCTGAGTCAGATGAACTGGCATCAACAATGGGCAAGAGCTTTTTCATTTCTGTCTTCGAAAGGCCAAGCTCTTTGCATTTAAGAAGACCTTCACGAGCCCTCATCCTGAAGAGACAAAAGAATGACGTTTCAAACAAAACATCAATGGAGAGGACAAATCAACAAGATACAATGGAATTTAACTTCGCAACTGTCAAATAACTTAATCCTATTTAAGATTCTTCCTTAGCTTCTGGGAAGAGCATGCTAGTCGATTTGCAGTCAACATGTTACTCCAGAATTGAGGGGAACAAAGGAAGATATTTGATGCAAAAGGAAGGATTCAATCATGTGCATCCCTCCACTAGTGTAATGTGGAAAAGAACATCACTGACCTGCAGAAACTACTGTTGACACCTTATCCTCACAATTCACTTTTTACAAGGATCAGTGAATCCTCTTTTCAATTTTCAAATGGAAAGCAAATCATCTAAAATACCTTTTAATTCAGGAGATCAATCTTAAAGGAATTATATTAAGCTCTGCACATATTAGACCAGAAAATGTAACTCCGCAGGAAACTTACCAGTTCACGTTGCCTCGAAGTGTGTTAATTTCCCCGTTATGACCCAAAACACGCATGGGTTGAGCACGATCCCAACTAGGAAAGGTATTTGTAGAGAACCTAGAATGCACCTGTACCAGAAAACCCCAAAAATTTACATTTGGAAGATCCAATACGACAAAAAGAAAAAAAATGGAGCTGCTGAGATATGTCTTCCAGATGCAATGGTAATTGAGTTCTGGCACTTTGAAGATTTGTGGCAATGACAGGACACAGCACATTGAGCCCTAATCTAACCTTGAGCACACACAAATTCCTCCACAAGATTTAAGTGGATATTTTCTCGTTAAGAACAGATGGCAGAGAGGAGGGCACCAAGTTTCTGTAAACATTATTTACTTGGTAATGAGTTTCCTTACCAACTCACCAAAGAGTCCCACCGGCATCCAAATTCAAATTGTGATCAAGGGAGTGGAAGAACTTAAGAGATCATTCATACTTCAATGCCTCAGAAGCCATTCCTCAACCTTGCATCTCTTCAGTTTACTGGTTGATCCAATGCTGTTCGTTGTTGAAGTATGGAGTCAGTGTACAAATTAAAAGAGAATGGATAAAATATTTACCAGGGCCATGTAGCTCGTAAACCTTTCATTGCCCAAATCTGCATAGTAGTACTCCTTCAACTGATTAGGCTTCAACTGACCTTTGTAAACAATAGTCCTGCGCATTAAGAATATAAAATTTAAAGTTAGCCACAGCACCACAGCAAATAGTGATGTATTCTGAGTCTTGTGGAACAAACCTTGAAGAAAGAGAGCATATATAGAAATCTCTCACGCCACCATGTTGGAGGTTTAAAGCAGCTCGGATCGCTACCATTGAAACCCTCCTCAAAATATACATCTGCAGGGGGAACGGATTCAGAACCTATGATGAACAATAATTGATAGGGAAATACTAAGTAGTAACAAATATACTACTTCAGTAACAGACAACTACCTGCCGCTCAAAGTCGACCTTTGACCGAGGAGTTGGTGTCAGAAACACTTGCTCAATGACAGGTTCTGTCTGCAATGCCGACTTGCCCAGTCCTGAATTATCTGTAGGGACTGGACGCCATCCAAGAACTGTATGACCGAGCGACTCAGCCACCTGCCGAAGCACAAATATTCAAAAAAAAAATCAGAATACGTAATAACAAAATTCACCTGCATAAATATGTCATCAAAATCATCAAATAGAGCAGGAGATGAATTTCACCTTTGTAAATACAATTTTGCTTTGCTCCCTTCTGCTTTCAGAGGTAGGTAGGAAGAACATCCCAACTGCATACTGGCCAGGTGGTGGTAGCTCAAATCCCACCTCACTTGCTACCTGAGGCAGTTACACAGAAGATACAAGCAACAATTGAGTGTTATATCAGATTTCAAGCCACAATTGGTAATTTTGCAACTAAGAGATCAGTATAAATACTTTAGTATTAAATTTTGAATAAATAGTCTATTTTTTGTTGTCATTCTCAAGTGATATTATTTTATACCCAATAAAAATACATGTCTTAGAAATACCTTGGAAAAAACATATAGATGAAAACTATATCCTTTTCATTATTACATGTGAAAAAAAATTGATCAGGTTACTACTTGTTTCTTTCTTGTAATTTCTGTAGTAGTAATTTTACATTATAAGTAAGCATTTAAAATAAAATTCCAATAATTAGAAGAACGCAAAATTTATTTATTTATTTCGTATTTAAGATTCCCCTATCATCCTCTCAGGTAATACACCCACACATGATCAACCATAAATAGTACAAAAGCAAAGAAGCAACTAACAAAATCATCAAATTAGCAATTCATAACAAGTCTCAAGAACATCACTTGAGGTTAAAAAAATTCCACTAACTGAAAATTAAGTAGCAGTAATTCTGAGCAGTTAAAATATGTCAGTCACCTCCTTGTAGAAATCATGAGGCAAAGCCACAAGAATACCGGCCCCATCTCCAGTATTAGTCTCACAACCACACGCGCCTCTATGAGACATCCGAACTAACATCTCAACAGCATCAGTTACCTAAAAACAATTTGAAAAATTCAAACTTTCCATAGAACTAAAAAAACCATCACAAATACTTTTGAAAAGTTTTCTGATTTACCGTTTTCCGGTTGCTTTCACCGGAAAGTTCAGCCACAAACCCAACACCACAAGAGTCCTTATCGAAGGACGGATCGTAAAGGCCGAGTGGCTTCTCCGGCACATTAGACAATGCAGAACGAACAACGACCTTAAGCTTCGGAGCCTGGCCCGGCCCATCTGATTGCCAAAGGTGCAACCTTTCAGAACCCGAGGCCCGGAGTTTGGCTCCGTAAAACCTCTTATCGAAACCGGTAGTCCTCTTAGCTAAACTTCTAGAGGCCCTAGTAGTTCTGCCCAGACCAACACCGACTCTGCACAAAGGCATAGCATTCAATTGATGGCCCGCCAGACTCTTGGCCGGCGATGGCATAACCATGCCATTGTTCACAGAACTCGAAGCAATCGACATATTAAACCACCAGGTTCAGTTGTTTACAATCTTTTTAAGAGATATGTGTATATATATAAATACCGTAAATTGTATACAGAATTAAGTTATTAACGAAAATAACCAAATAAGTTCAGATCTTTATGAATAAAAAAAGCGTTATAAAGAAATCTCAGATCCGTTGTTTAGAAGGTTTTTGGAATGATAAGATGAGTCGACTTAGAGCAGATCACGTGAAAAATAAGGGTTTGAAGAGAGGGCGGTGGATAAAGCGTAAAAAAGGTAGTCCTTATCTAATCAAACTATTCCAGATTGAGTTTTAATATAACGAAACAAAGGAACCAAAATCATAGGTAGGAGAGGGATTTTTGTTCAGGAAACGCAGATGAGGGCAACGAAGGCAAAAGGAAAGAGGAGAGAGTCTGCACAGCGTCAGAGGGGGTAGGTGGCGGCTCTCTTCTATCTTTCTTCGTTTTCGGCATGGGCGAGGTGGCTTGTGTTAGGATTTATAGATGNTTTAAACTTTAAACTAAATCTTTCACTAATAAATGTGCTGCTATATCTTTTATCTAAAACTTTATAATTGAATATAAGTGAATGTAGTCACATTTTTTATTTAGTACCGCATAGTTTATTATTTTTTTAACGCTATTTATACATCGGATATATAACATTATACGCTTATTATAATATTGGATGTAAAAACTTGATTTTACCTTCTACGAATTTCAACTCACATATAACTGAATAGTTCAAATCTTTACGGATAGCTTTAAATTTTTTACAACAACTTCTAAATGATATTCCTAACGAACTCTAATCATCAATTCGGTCAAAAAATTTCACAGATTATAAATTTTATTTATTAGTTTTTAAGCTTTTAAAACTCCAGGAGTAGAGTTTTTTATTTTTCACTTTAATGCACCTAATAATGTTTAAATGAATATCATTCTCAAATCAAAGTTTAACACAGATCTTCTCAATACACTATTAATAGATGAAAAAAAAGTTTCAAACTATATACAAAATAGGCTACTTTGGTAAGGTAAAGAATATAAGCTAAAGTTGATTAGGGAAGTATCCACATGTGTAATATCCCGTAATTATCTCTAAAATGTACTCCTCTCAGTTTGCATTTAATGGAGGTCTGAATTTTAATCATTCAGATCTCAGACATTAAGTGTGTTTGTTTTTAAAGTTTGAATCTTAATTATTCATATTTTAATCATTAAGCGCGTTTGTTGTTTTTTACTTCACAACCACTTAATGGGTATAAATATGTCTGTATGATTAAGATCTATAACAGAGACTTAATTTCATTAAGATGCTATCACATATTCATTATTAACTGTCGCCACCGCCTACCATTATTAACTACCACTATGTCGTTGCCGCCACCATACTCAACTACCACCACCACCGCGACGCCACCATCATCCTTATTCATAGTCACCACCATTATCGACCATCACCACCCATTATCCCCACCACTCCGACCACCATTATTCTCACCCACAATCAACACTCGTCCGCCTCAATTACCACAACTGACCACCCCATCATCATCAACAACCACAACCGGCACTGTCCATTATTATCACCTACCACCACCCACCCACCACTTTTCTCAGTCACAACTACTACCACCACTCGTCATTATTAACTATCACCACCCACCACCACCATCCTCAATCATAATCGCCACTACTACCAATCACTACTAGCTACTAGCATGAGCCACCATCATTAACCAAAACTACCACCAAACACCGTCTCTAGTAAGCATTCACCAGGTAGCTATCACCACCAACAACTATCATATTTTAGAAAAACTATATATTCTAATGATAGAATATAAGAATAGTTAGTATTTCATTTGAATTTTATGTTTATCAATTTTCAAATAAAGATAAATTTTATACATTCAGATTTTAAAAAACAAACAGTCTTAACTATTTAGTATTCTGATCTTAATACGCATCTTAATATATTCAGATGTGTATTCAGATTCAGTCGTCTTAATCTTAATACACATCTTGATATTCAGATGTGTATTCAAATTCAGACGTCTTAATCTTAAAAAAACAAACGAGACCTAAGTAACCAATTTGCTTTGGGCACATCCATTAAGAAATTACTAAATTCTATACAAAAATACTAGTATGACTAAACTATCTTTAATTAAATATTTAATGTGAGGAGTAAGAAACTTTTTTAGGGATATGTACATAAGAGTAATTTTGTAAAAACAAATTGAGTTTTTTCTTGATATATAAATGGACATTTATTTTGGTCCAAAATAAAAAAGTAAATTGGTCACTTATTGTGGACAGGAGGGAGTACCATTTAGTGATAAGGTCTATCGTCAATTAATTTTGACTAATTAAATTAAATTTTGAATAATAATATATGATCTGCCGTAAACTTGTGTTAATATTTTCTTCGTAACTCTTATCCTAATAAGAGCCTAAAATCGATTAGTTAATATTTGATTAAAATTTCAACAGCTAGTTTTTAACGTTAAAATTATATTTAAACATAAATTTTACTTGAAAAAAAAGAGACTAAAACTCTGGAGGGAAAAATAATTAAGTTTAATATACTCCTTAATTCAGATTTTTAATTTTAAGATTCTATGTAATATGAGGTAGAAATACCAAAAAACAAAAAATATAAAATGAACATTAATTTGCAAAAATATTTTATTAAAAAGTACTAGTGATATTTTTGTTCAAAGGCCTACTCAAACTTCTTTTTCGCCACGTGTACAAAAGGAGCCTCCTATGCGGCACGCGACAAACGCTCATGGTGGGGCCTCCCCGTTGCCGCCGTTAGCCATTTGAGGTGCGGTGGTTAGTGGTGGTTAAAATAGACTGCTATTTATAGCCGCCTCTAGGCTCGGTTCCAGGCCGGCCTCCGCGGCTCGGGCACGGTAAACTTCTAATGAGTATCAACGTTTTCCGCTTTATCCTCTTCGTGGGCCCTATGTGTTTTCTCAGGTGAAAATGACTGAAACCTTCTGCGTGCGACTTGACCAACGGAAGTTAGGAAAGTTAAGACGTAATTTTGTTTAAATTTTTCCTTTTTCGAAAATATTTATGAAACGAAAAAAAAAAGTGTCAGTACTTAGTCCCAAATAGGGACAGAGCTACGTTCCGTGAAAGAGTTCAATAAAAATTTTAAAAATTCATATGATGTAAATACATATATGATTAAAATTCAACAATAACAACACACCAACTGTAATCTCACAAGTAGGGTTTGAGAAGAAAAAGGTGTATGCAGAACTTACTGATACCTTGTGAAGATAGAGATGTTGTTTCCGATAAACCCCTGGCTCAAAGAAAATATAATCTCAACGGTTTCGAAAAAAATACGATAGGGAAGAAACCATGAAAAAAGAAGCAACAACAAAAAAAGAAAATAAGATAACCGAAGCAAAAAAGACACGGAATAATTATAAAATTTTGAAAAATAAGAAAATAATACTAATATTAGAAGCTTCTTTGTAACTTTTAGTTTTTAGAAGCTTTTTTCTTTAATGAATTTTAATTATATTATCTATATAAGAAGAAATATGGAGAAAAGCTTATAGTATAAGAATAAAAACCTAAAAGTTACTTTAAATCATAAATTTGAAGATTGAAATTCGTTTACTTTTTTTGATCCTTCTAAGAATGAGTCTATCCAAAATATGGTTGCAAAAACGTTTTACTATGACCAATAAATATTTTTGTATTTCTTTTACTTTTTCCAATTAATCTAGTTTGATTATATTTACCGGACAGCACGTCAATTTTTCCCTTTGGATTTTGCATTGGTAACTAAGGTTGTAAAATAACCATTTTGTTCAGTAAGATTATAAAAATGGAATGATTGTACCCTGTTGTCTACCTAGATATTCAGTTGTGAAGTGCCACTCGTGGGGTCCCCCACTACATTACTTCCAATTATTACATTCTATTTCTTAATTAATAAGATTAAATAATTAAGGCTTCTTTTACTTAGAATAATTAAGGCTTCTTTTACTTTTCCAATCAGTGAAATTTATGCTTGAACAACAGCAACAGACTTTAATTCCACTTTACTCAGAAAAACACATGAACAGTACTCAAACAGTTCCAATATAATTAACATAGTTGACTTAGAAAATTAGCTATTGGGTAGGATTACCGAGTTTATAAGTTTGAGCCAATTAAAGAATTTGGACAGTAGTAAACGAAGCAGCCGATGATGTCTCTGATGACGTATTGCTTAATTACTGTAAACATAATAAAGTGAGTATTCTTTCTACCACTGATTCGCATTAGTGGTGATATAGATACATTTGTCACACCTTTTTTTTTTTGTACAAACTTCACTAAACCTTCTTAAAAATATAAAAAGATTTGTAAAGCTCAAGAGGATTTTTAATTAAAAAGTGACAAAATTGTGTTCAAAAGAAAATAACTCAGAGTCGTCACCTGACATTGGTTTCGGTATGCCAGGTCACCGTTTTTAAAATGATTTTCCTTTTAAAACACTTTGGACTCCAAACTAGGTCTGCACCAGAGATTTGGGTAAGAGGATTTATTTGACTCGGAAATAAGGTGTTAGGCACTCTCCAAGTCCCGTGAAATTCACGGTTGCGTACTCAATCTAGCTGGCTTTTAAAATACTCGAATTGAGGTAATAACACACAAAAAGAAAATAAACAATCAAGATAGGCTCGAGGTCATCCCCACCTAAATGAAAGAAAATTAAAAGAAGAAAAATTAAAGTTCTAAATTATCCTACGCCACTTCTTCTACGATGTTCGCTACGGCCTCCAATTACAGAATACTACGGGGCATTCCCCGGAATAAAATATATACAAATCCTTCGGGGGATAAATTTAACTAAGGGAATGACCTCTCGCTTCGAAACCAACAAAAATCCTAAAGCTTGCCTACCCAAATGTGGTTGGCCTAAACATGCTCCTAGTGATTATGAAAGAAAAGTAAAAAACAATTAAGCTAAAATAGAGACATTCCATGATCATGTTCAATCTTCAGTTCGTTTGTGATTTCACCCCCCCCCCCCCCATGGCTCAACATCGTCATTCAAATAAGAGGTGTGTACACAAAGGAAAGAATGGCATCCAGAACAAAACAACAAACGAAACGAAACCAAAAGAATAAGTGAAAAATGATGGAACCAGCAAGGCAAATAAAAGGCAACTCGAAACATAAACCATGAAACTTCTGCATGCAAGGCAATGGGCAAATGGCCCACTGAAAATTTTTCTCTTAAGGTTATACTAACCCAAAGCAAGAGAATGACTGCAACCTAAAGAGAATTAACAAATTCAACTATAGAGTTTCCGATTCTAACTACACTAATGGAAAAATTCATCACTTGAATCTTAATATTACTGATGGGGATAATTTTGAAAGCACTAATTCATGGAAAACAGAAGCAGGGAATGAACATTTGTGACCAAAACTAGTTATATGAACAAAGTCATGTCTCC